CCCATAACCGTTGAATAGATATCTCAATTGCATATCGTATTGAGATTGATCGACATTCAACTTATTTTGCAAATCGTGGTACATTTCTAAGTATGGTGTACTCTCTGTTATGGGAATTGAAATACAACCACGTATGTCACTCGTCCATCTCCATTCTCACCGATTATTTTCATTCAATTTGAAATCATCAAAATAACACACGGGAATTATCGTATCTTCATGAGGAAATGATTTTAATCAACTTCATGTATTAATTATAAGAAAAAGGCCAACAAAAATCAGTGCAGAGTCGTGTAATTGGCTGTTTAACAGCCGACTATTTAGCTGTTAACAGCCAAGCAGTCAGACTGTTTCCAATGGCTGTTTTGGCATAGGAGAATACGGTTCTAAAGTTATACATCTGTTCAATTTTTTTTGATAGGTAAGATCTATTAAAAAAATTTATGCTAACTACTATGTCGACATAAAATTTCTCTATTGAAACGTATACTAATTTACTGAAAACGAAATTAAACATGCGTAAATGTACTTATCGATTTGAAGTAATTGATATGAAAAAAATTTCCCACTTCAACGTTTCAAAGTTTTTCTAAATTTTGAGGTTCAAGCAAATGAAAAGATGAGAGTTTTTCCTGTGTTGGAAGCTCGTTTTGAAGTTTTTATAAGTGGGGAAGTGTTTGGTTTTCAATTATTAACTAAAAGAGTAGTATAATCCTTTCAACAATATATTGTTTTGTAATTGTACAAAAGATTTAAGGACATCTTTATCTTTTACCATACAAGAGACCAATGTCATAATATTCATAATTTTGGAGGTCAAAATAAAATTTAGGTCCTTTGATTGGGTCAAGCTTAAAAGTTCCCCTCTCTTGCAATCGTTAGAAAGTTCAGAGAGGGAGTGAAAATTGAAAAGACGAAAAGATGGCATTGCTGCCCTCTCGGAGCGAGGTCCTCTCACTCTTCTGGTCATTTCTGAGGACGGCGCGTGAATACACAGACTACAACATGAGGAAGTATGTCAAGCGCCGCACAATCGATGCCTTCCGCCACAATTATCACCTCTCAGACCCGTCGGCAACGGCCACAGCCTTCACCGATGGAAAGTCACATCTTGGTGTGGCTAAGCGACAGGCCGTCTTCTACTCACTTTACGCGCCTAGGGTGACGAGCGTCATGGAAATCAATCACCCGTGAATCATTAATTTCATCATTTTCATTAAAAGCAGGGTTAGGATTCTCTTCTTTCGTTCACCTTTAACTGCTTTAGACTGTCATCTGGTTTGTACGATAGGGAATTATCTGGGTCTTTTTTTAAATTAGAGTATGATATGTTGGATATTGGTTAAATAAATCGAGAATTGAAAATCGATTAAAGTGACTTCGTATCGACTTTGGCCAAATACTCAAAAGCTCGGCTCAATCCGTTTAGACAAAATTATTTGCCACTTCGCCGCTTCGGGGCGCACAAACGGGGATCGACCTGTGGGGGCTCGGGGGCAACGCCCCCGAAAGAGAATTTTGATTTCTCTGTATGTATTGAGGGGTATATTTGGCATTTCGAAAATCAATATCGGATGAATGAGAAATTACGAAAAAGGACAAAAATCAGGTCAAAATATTTGACCGTGCGACCGCATGGTTGGTAAACCGCGCGATCACACGTCAAATTCAATTCCGGTTTTTTGAGTAAAACCGTGCGACCGCACGGTCTATAACCGTGCGGCCGCACGGTTGTCCGGTGAATAGACACCTTTTCATAAAGGTGCATTGTTTGAAAAGGGTGCATGGTTTGGCCTCAACCATTTCGTCCACACCCTTTCATGGTCTATAAATAGGACCCTTCCTATTCCTCACAATTTTAATATGCAAAACATCTCTCATCCTCTCTTCTATCCAAAATCAAAATCATTTCATTTATTTTGATTTTCCTTAATTTCATCCTTGGAGTACATAAGCCTAAATTTGGTTCGTTGTACTTGTGTTTTGGAGTGCTCCAAACACAAGTGTAGCCGTTGTATCTTGAGAGTCGATTGCCGAAATCCGTAGGCACCGTTGCGGGGCAAATTCGACTTAAGGACAAAAAGTCCAACTCTTGCCTCGGCTTTGTCCCTACTTTCTTCTTCTTCTTGTTTGTGTTTTCTTTGCCGTTACTCTGTCCAATTTTCGGCACGGATTTACAAACCATCATTATACTTATTTTGACGTCACTATTCACAAAATTCCTCCAAAATGATACTGTGGAGCTATTGGGTTTTATTGCAGGCTTCGAGAATGAATTGTGTGTCATTTATATATTTTTAATTATTATTATTTTGAAACTTATGCTTCATGTATTTTTGAATTTGGAATAAAATTCGTGATGATATGGGGATTTTTATTTTTATTTTTTAGTTTTGGTTTTTGGTAAATGTCGTAACTTTTTCCTATATTCTATGATTATTTGTATGGCGATCTGAATGTTGTTCCCTTTTCCTTTGGTGATTGATGCTTTTTTGATGTACATACAATAAATTAGGGTCGGGCAAATCTCCCGAACCAAACCGAATTGAATCCAATGATTCTTGTCAAATTAAATACCCGAACGGGTATCTAAATTACGAACCGACGGGTACGGTTCGGTTCTAGACCAAGAACCGAATAAGAAGCGAATCTTTCTAATTTTTTTTATATTGAATAAATCAAATTATTTTAATTTTAATTTTTTCTAAACAAATTAACAAATTAACTATTTCTAAATCCAAATTTTTGGCCCAATAATTTGTTTCATTTCTAATTTTTTAATTTTTGGTCCAATTACCCATTTTATTGTTTCATTTCTTAGCCCAACAAGATCCAATCCACTAAATAACCCTAAACACCTACACTAAAGTGCATAATGCTGTCTTGACTTTCGCACTCACTCTCACAGCCTCGCTGCCATTCCAAAACCTATACAATCGTCGACCGATGCTGTGACTTCCAATCGAAACTGTGACTTCTGCCGACCAAAACTTTGACCGTAGCCATTATTTGAATAAGGTAATCTACTAGTCTCTGACATTCCAAAACCATTGAATGTGTCATTAGTTGTATTTATATAATGTTGTTATAAATGTTAACAAATTTAATTATAGTACAGAACCGAACCGAACCGACCCCGAACGGTTCCATAATTATATTTGGACCCGACGGTTCCATTTATTAGATACCCGAAAATTTTGGTGCGATTCGATTCTCTTTAGAATCGAACCGACCCGCGCCCACCTCTACAATAAATGCACTTCTTGATGCCAACTTTTCGGGACTTTCAAATTATTTGCTTGGATAAGGTTTTTTTAATCAGTAGCTTTTGCACAATTTACTTCAACAGAGTTTCTTTGCCCAGAAGAAAAATTAAGTGAAATAGGGATATGATGTGATTAACGACGCGTTAATTTGCTCATTATATATATATATATATATATATATATATATAGAGAGAGAGAGAGAGAGAGAGAGAGAGAGAGAGAGAGAGAGAGAAGTAGAAGAGTGATTAATAGTCTAAATGATGCCAAAGATGATGCCAGCTATACAAGTACAAAATGTTGTTATGAATCAACTGGTTGAAGGCAAAAAACATTTGCTAAAGCATAACTAGGAAAACTTAATCTGGGGGTTTTGATAAGAGGCATGTGTATTAATTAGCTCCCGTTGTGTATTGTGGATGATTTGGAATGGAGGTGAAGAGATTTTGGTTTTAAATCTTTTGTGGAGACAGAGATGTAATATCCCATTTGTTCTTTTTCAATTTGCTCTGTGAAGTTCATTGCCATCTCCATGTGCATATAAATTGAGGTTCTTGAAGATTTTGAGAGTTTTTTTTTTTTTTTTTTAATAATAAATGCACCTTGAATAAAGGGATAGTCTCTTCTTTATATCAATGAAATTTCGACACCTTAAAAGAAGAGCTGAATGTTTTTATTCCTTACAAGCTAGCATCATCCTTTGTTACTTTTTCAATCCGTCTCAACATCATTGCTGCCACCACGGCAACCTTATCAAATCATCCCCAACATCTCCACTACCAGCTTCAACAATGGGGAAAAAGCCAACAGACAACTGGTTTCAATCCTTGCAAACAAGAATTCAAAACTGTCACGTACCCGTTTTGGAGCCACCAAAAAGGAGTGTTCCTCTGCGAAAAGTCTCAGTAAAATCAGAAATTAAATTCTGGAGATATTGTCAAGTTTTATAATGCCCATTTGGGTGATATAATTGAATGGATTGAAACCTTATCACAAACCATATGAAAATTGAATTTTAGATGAGTTACGTTGGAGGTTCGGGGCGATGACCATGATTTTGAGTTGGAGAAAGCATATTCTCCCTCATTATCAATCCTTGCTCGCCCTTTTTCTCTGTCATGGCTGGAACTTGTATTATTGGTATTTTTAGATGTTGGGTTGTGCTAATGTCATTGTGCTGTTTGATATTTTATTCTGTTGGCTGAGGTGGCAACAAAATGTTGAAGGTGCTAATTTATATGCAGTAGGGAGGTGAGATGGGAAGGAAAGGGAACTGGTTATTTATTTATTTTTTAGTAAATATATTTAGCTGTCAAAACTAAACTTGGAAACCGGTAACTATTAAATAGAGATCAATATCAGGACGAGGGATTCTGTTTTGCCCTGAAATGATATGGATTTGTATTACTTAAATCTTTATACCTTTTTCCAATTATTACAATAAAACTGGTGCCAAGTCAATAGAAGTTCTTTAGTCAGAGATGGAAGGAGTTTAATGTTTGCCCTAAAATGAGATAATACTTTTGTCTCAACCACCTTCTTTGATTCTTGTATTTTTCTTTAGATGTTATAAATACTTAATGTATTCATTTTAATAGAGTTGTTTGCGAACTCATTATGAACAATTAATGATGCATTAGCATTTAATTTTGATATGTCATGGAATCATGATTGTTAATTATTCTAGTTTTTGTATCCCAAACAACCAAGAATTTGGTTTGAGAAACACATACCCAATTTGAGCAATTTTGAGGATCCTTTTGTAGTTAAATTACTAGCAATTGAAATCTCCAAACCACCCTTGATTGTGATTACAATCTCAAATGGAAAGTCCTCTTGTTTTATAGCCGAGAGACTCTTATTTTCGTGAAATAATGAGGACGACCAAATCCCGCAAGACTCTTTTTGTGTAACTTTTTTGTACCCTCACAGAACAAAGATGTTATTATTGAACTGCATCTTAGAGCTTCTCTGAAAATGCTCTTTACGTTAAATGATAGTGAAAACACTACGTTCTCGCATGAATTCAAATCTGTAAAATTCCTCGTGTGCTTGGCTCGAGCCAACTCTATTCCTTCGATTGGGGATAAATTTTCTCTGTCCATAAAAAAATGGAAAAAAAAAAAAGAAAAAAAAAACCTTATTAAGCAACTTATAATCTCAGTAAACTACACACATACCTAAGTAATATCATAAGTATTTAATTCAATTCCCTCCGTGACATTTTGTCAAGTAGCATATCGTCTTCAGTAGACCATATGTCGTTATTGGAATTATTGAATTCAGTGTCATCCTTCGTATCTGTCGTATCAACAAGAAACTGAAGATGATCAGCAACACTTTCGTATGTACTTTGCTTTATTTGTTTTACTAAACTAATATTTATGGATAATACCCATATCAAATAAACCAAGCGCAAGAAAATTAAGTTAGCACATTGTTGATAATGAGGTTTCCCCATAACTACGATGCAATTATACTAAATGGTATACAATAATAATATGAACCATAGAAAACTAGCAAAGGAATATATATTATTTAACAGACAACTACATTAAAATTCAAGCAGTACACAGGAAAAAAAAAAATGGGAAAAAGAAACCACCAAGATCGTGCAATCAGGTATCCCTTTTTTTCTTTTCTTTTTTTTTAAATATTTACATTCCATGTGTGGTAAAGATGAAAATGAAGAAACCATAAATAAATTTTAGGATTTACGTCGATTCTCTCCCTCCATGTGCACTTCTTGAAAAACCCAATTTCGTGGTTGGGTTGTGGACTTTCAACGGCGACGGACGTTCGGTTAGGGTTCACCTTTAACAGTGCAATTGTTCGATCTTTTTTGGGAGGATGAGATTCTAGATCGTGATTTCACTTTTGAGATGGGTAAGTTGTGTTTGGTATCGAAGTTGGGGGTAGGGATTGAATTGGATTTTTGAGAGATGAAGATCTCGTTCTGGAATGAAGTTTTCATCTCGCACCTTCAGTTTGAATTGCTTGTTAGGGGTTTGGTATTAGTGACTTGGCAATTCATTTTTGAGATGGACCAATTTAACGGCCACACGTGCAAACTCTTATCCTAGTAGGCAATTGGGTTAGATGAAAGTTGCCCAATGAGTAATGGAGTGTAACTTTTCAAAGTTCAATGAGTAATGAAGTGCAAACTAAAGTTCAGTGAGCGAAACGTGACCTTATACAAAGTTCAGTGTGTGCTGAAACAATTAACTCATCTTAATTCTATCTTCTGTTTTAAAATTGAATTTTCTTCCTGTAGCTCGTGAATTTTGCCTTAGTAATTTGGGTATTACAATATTGAGCTCTTGTCAGTCTCTGGCTATTCCAAACTAAATAATCTTCTATGACCTGCTAGTGTAGAACTGTTTTGGGTTTTTGCATGAACAGCGATTGCTTATGCAATTATAAAAGCCTAATCTGTTGACTTCAGGGTTAAGAATAGTACAAACGGGTCGCAGGCAGGTCCATAATGAATGATATCCCCTTCTAGCGTATTTTTCAGTAGGGATAAATCTTTGGCGTGCATTATAGTTTGAGATCAACATGAAGGTTGCATCTCAGTTCCATGTACTTCAGTGATATTAGTTAACATAAGAAATCGCTTCCAAAGATAGGCAATGTAAATCATGACACGCCAATGCGAAGCCATCGAGCCCCCGACGGCATCTACCTCTACAAGAGACCATCAACCCCCCGGGTGCGTCTACCTCTACAAGAGTCCATCAATCCCCCGGGGTGCTCCACCTCTACGCGAGACTATCGACCCCCCCGAGGGCTCTACCTCTACGAGAGACCGTTGACTCCCTGGGGGCGCTCTACCTCTACGAGAGACCGTCGACTTCTCGGGGGCGCTCTACCTCTATGCAAGACCAGCGACCGACATGGAATTACCTACAAGGCCATCCCAACACTTAGCCTCAAAATCTCTGATGAATTAACAAAGTTACATGGCGGTCACCACGAACACAACCTCTGTGGGGTAGTTAAGACCCCCCCACTCAGAACGTGGGGATAATGGGAAAGCCAACGTGGGACACGTGTTACTACAGCCACCCGGCTCTCACTCGGCTTCTGACGTCTATAAATACCTCCCAAGGGCGATACAGCTATGGATGATTGCATATTTTTTAGCTACCTGAATTCCGAATTTATTTTCTCCTAACACGCCTACTGATTCTCACACCTGAGGTAAAACGGGGGAGAAAGTCCTGCCCTCACTTTTCGGTTACACACGTTTGTCGGAGTAGCAGAAACACTAAAGGTCGCAGATAGATCAAGAGGCATTATTTGACCATCATTTCATTGACGCCGTCTGTGGGAACATTTGAACTAAGCTATGTCGAGAAGACGAACAAGAAGTGGTACTCGTTTGGTTGGGAATACGGCAGAGACAGAGTAGGAGTCAGTTGCGCGGGGTCACGAACCACCGTCGACCCCGCAATATGTGACTCAGGGTCAATTCAGCGCTTTGGAGACTCAGTTGGCAACAATGATGGCGCTCTTACAAAACCAGTCGCAGAGAGTTGTGGTCCCCCCATTGAGCCCGACGGAAGTGACAAACCAGCAACCGCCTCAAGCGCCACCCGCGGTTATCCCACCCATCGCTCGATAGGCGACAGGAGATTTGGGGGCTCCAATGGTCGTAGCTTGGCAACCCCTGCAGGCCATGGTGGGCCTGGAACAAAAGATGGAAGAAATCATGGCCCAGAAGATAGATGATGCATTATCTAAGAGGAAGGATAGGCGGAGGCAGATGGTTTTGGAGGAAGACCCATTTGCACCTGAGATCATGACGGTCCCTTTACCTAAAAACTTCAAACAGCCCATGATAGAAGCATATGATTGAGTCATGGATCCGCTTGACCACTTGCGAAACTTTGTAGATCTGATGAGACTTTATGCGGCCCCGGACGCAGTGATGTGCCGATCTTTCCCCCCACACTTAGGAGGGAGGCCAGGGACTGGGTAGCAACCTTGGCCCCGCGGTCTATCAAGACGTTTGATGAGCTCTCCAGGAGCTTTGTGGCTTACTACCTAAGCAGCAAGAGGAAGAAGAAGATGGCCATTGGGTTGATGCAGGTCATACAGGAGAAGGATGAGTCATCGTAGGAATACTTGGCTAGGTTTATCCGAGCGACTCTTGGCATAAAGGGCTTGCAAATGTCTGCAATAGTTACCGCCTTGATGAATGGAATGCGAAACCGGGCCTTTAAGATGTCACTCTCTAAGAATCCCCCGGAATCGATACATGACCTGTTGAAGAAGGGAGACAAGTACGTCGATGCGGAGGAAGCGGAGACGGTAACTAAAAATCTCAGGGAGGGATGGAAGACGAAAGCTCATAAGCGAAAGACAAATGATAAGTGAAGGCACGCTGATAAGAATAAGCCGAAGAATGAACGCATGAACAAGGGTTATACCCAGGATCGGTCAGTCAAGCAGAAGCGAGAGGAGGTACAAGTACCCACCCCTTTGAACATCCCAGACACAAAGTTATTAATGGAAATATAGCACATGAAAGAGCTCGAATGGCCTAAACCGATGCTGACTCCCTCTAGCAAGAGAAATCAAAGTAAGTACTGCCATTTTCATAAAGATCAAGGACATGATACCGAAGAATGTCTGCCGTTGAAAGAGGAGATTGAACGCCTACTAAGGCAGGGACTATTGGCTAAGTATGTAAAAATCGATAGGGGCAAGCAAAGGCTCGAGGATCGATCCCCGCCAGGGGCAGGAGTGATAAACATGATCATCAGGGGTGTAGCATCGGGGCGACGACTCAAATTCTGCTAGGAAGAGCTATGCGCATTCTGTGGGGGTCTGCTCTATCCAGAAAAAGCAAGGTTCAAGCAGAGTATTACTTTCGACGAAGAGGACTTGATTAGTATAACGCATCTCCATGATGACGCCTTAGTGATAGTAGGCGATATAGCGGATTTTGACATGAAGAGGGTGCTAGTTGACGGGGGAAGTGCGGCGAACGCCTCACCTGGGATGCCTTCTTGGGTCTAAAGATTCCTTCCCAAAATGTTGAAGATGGTGACTACCCCTCTACAAGGCTTTGGAGGAGCAGCAGTGATACCGGAAGGAACTGTGGAGCTTCCAGTTACGCTAGGCACATACCAGCGACAGTGGTTGTTGTGACTAACTTCTTAGTTGTCAAGACCTCCATGGCCTACAATGCCATATATGGCCGACCATTGCTAAATGCAGCTGGTGCCGTCCCATCAACCTACCATTAGGTTATGAAGTTTCCAACTAGCAGGGGAGTCGGGTGCGTGCGAGGGACCAGCATGCATAAAGGAAATGCTATGTGGATAGGTATACAAGCTATAGGCTCACCACCAATCATGATGCTGGATGTGGAACTCCCAAGGGGACGGATTGAGCAGCTCGATATGATTGAAAAAATCTTTATAGCCGATGGACGAGAGTTTAGTGTTGGAATAGGTCTGGGATCCGAGGAGAAGGAAAAATTGACAAAATGTCTAGCCAGTAACTTGGACGTTTTCGCTTGGGGCCCAGAAGATATCCCAGGGGTCAGCTCGACCATCGCGCAGCACTGTCTCGGTGTCTAACCAGTGGCTAAGCCAGTGAAGCAGAAAAAATGAAATCTTACCCCGGAGAGGCAGGCCACAGCCAGAGCAGAGGTAGAAAAATTACTACAGGCGGGTTTTATTCGAGAAGTGCAGTACCCCGAGTGGTTGGCAAACATTGTACTTGTGAAAAAGTCAAACGGAAAGTGGCGCATGTGTGTAGATTATACTCGGTTGAACAAAGTATGCCCAAAAGACTCATACCCGCTTCCCAAGATAGATCACCTGGTGAACGCTACATCGGGTCATGGAAGGTTCAGCTTTCAAGATGCATTTTTCGGGTACCAACAAATTTCAATGGCTGAGTTAGATCAGAAGAAGACGTCATTTATCACAGACTTTGGCACATACTGTTACATAGCCATGCCATTTGGTTTAAAATACCTCGGGGAAACTTATCATAGGATGGTGAACAAAGTCTTTCGTGGGTTGAACGGGGATGTTGTAGAGGCCTATGTTGACGACATGGTGGTCAAGAGTGCCTGATGACCATGTGGCCTGTTTGCAGAAAGTGTTTGATGTTGCCCGACAAAACAGATTGAGGTTCAATCCAGAGAAGTGTGTTTTTGGTATTGCCGGAGGAAAATTCCTAGGCTTCATGATCACGCAAAGGGGCATCGAAGTGAACTCGGACAAAATTCAGGCAATACTGGAAATGAAAAGCCCCACCAGTAGGAAGGAGGTCCAGAGACTAACAGGGCGGGTAGCCGCTTTAAATCGTTTCATGAGCCGGGCAGCAGACAAATTGATGAGGACATCCCAGTTCAATTTTAATTATTTTAGTTGAACTTAGGTTATTTTAATTTTATGGACTTGTGTATTGGGTTTGGCCCTAGGTTCGCAGTATTTTTCAGTATTTAAACCTATTTTACATTGTTATTTCGCAGTTTGATGAATTTGATTAAATAATGAAGTGGCTGTAGCCGTTTTCCTCCTTTCTTCCCTCTGTCCCTGTTCTTCTTCTTCTCCCCCTCCCTCACCTCTTCTTGTTATCTTTATTGAGTTACTCACCCTGCATCAAATTGGTATCAGAGCCAAACCTGGCTCCCTTCACCCACGGCCGAAAATCTAGACAAGTTACTCTCTTGCTACCAGCGCTGCCACCATCATCTGAAAAAAGCCCCAACACCGACCACCACTGCTTCAACTTGTAACCACGTCCTTTGGCAACTGTCAACCACTCAAAATTCGAAACTTCTACCACGAACTATAACCCCCACCATATACTTCCAGCAAATACAACCACCAAAACAAAAGATCCTCGGCCGCCACCTCCAAGCGACCATCACCACTGCGGTCACCTCCATATTCAGCAACCAATATGAACCCATCACCGCCACTAAATACCTCCAGTAGCCAAGCTTCCAATCACCCATCTGCAGTTTCTATTCCTGAAGACTGCTCCATCGACGGCGCTGTTTGCTTCACCTCAGCCGTCGACACCCAACAATACCCAACCGCAAGACTGTCGCAGCCAATTGCGAGACCCAAGGTGTCGACCGCTAGTAGACCAGCGCCCACATCGTGAGACTCTCCTTCGAGCTAGTCCACATCCCAAACGCCGACTCCCACAGATTCCAATCGGGTTTGGTTTATGAGTTATGGCTTGGGCTCAATTGGTTTAATAATTAAGTGGGTTGGTTTATTAGTTATGAATTGGGTTTGGGCTTGATTTCAATCGGGTTGGATTTATTAGTTATTGCTTGGGTTTGGGATTGATTGAGATTTTGAGTGTGATTTAGGCCCAAATTTGTGAAATGGGCTCATTTATTATTTTGTTGTTCTGATTTTGTATTATTCCAAAAAAAAAGGAATAAAAAAAACAAAAAAAAGAGAAAAAAAAACAAAAAAAAGTCAAAAAAAAAACAAAACAAAAAAACAAAAAAATTTCTTGAATTTTGAGAATTTCCTGACATTCTTTTATAGGTACATTATTTCTTCGACGAACATGAAATTTTCTATCTTGGCATCTCAGCGCTTAACAGTTCAGAACGTGGAGACATTCGACGCTAGGACGACTCAGGCCAACTAAACTCAGGGAGCCTCTGCTTCTATCTATTTTTAGTGACATTGTTACTGTATTTTAGAATTGCATTATTTAATTCTTTGTGTTGCTAATATTTGGATAATTCACGAGCCGACCCCATTGTTTACTCGTTTACCCCACGTGATTAGACCTAGCATTTGTACCTTTGTTTTTTTATTTTATTGGCATTGGTAGTATTAGCTTGCGATCGGGCCATACGTAATCCCTACAATAAAATAAAATAATAATAATAACAATAGATAAATTTCAGTCACTATTTTTCCTGCTAGCACTCGTTGGTTGTTGATCTCAGTAGACACTTCACCTAGCTTGTGTTACCGTGTATGCAATTGCGTAGTGGTCGCCTAGCTCTAGTACCGTTGCCATGGACCCTTCCCACATTGAAGCTATCACCCGACAGTTGGCACAATTACAAAATCAATTAACGGCTATCCAAACTGAGTTAGCCGCTACGCGCGAGGAGAATAGAACCCTAACCACTAGGGTAAACACTCTTGACCCAACCCAATACTCAACTGAGGCTGAAAATTCTGACGCTTCCATTAATAGACCTCATCGTCGTCCACAAGGTGATCGACATCATGCTAGACATGATCGTAGGAAAGGAAATCAAGCTCGTGGGCGCGAGTGGGAATATCATCGTCATGGTACACTGTCCCCCCCTCGCCACGAGGAGCGCTTCTTTCGAAATATTAAGTTAGATGCTCCTACATTTGATGGTTATCTAGATCCTAGTGTCTTCAATCAATGGGTTAGAGATATTGATCGCTTCTTTGCCTGGTATGGGGTCCCTGAAGATCGGAGGGTACAATTTGCCAGTTTGAAATTAACTGGCATAGCTCAACTGTTTTGGGAACTGGGATGAAATGAAGCGTCGCCTTGAGGAAAAATATTTACCTCAATCTTACAGGGGCAACTTGCTGGATCAATGGAACGCACTTACGCAAGAAAGTCGACCTGTAACCAAATATGTTGCTCAGTTTGACGAGTTTCGAATGAGATGTTAGGTCGTTGAGGATGAAGTCATGACTTTGAGTAGGTTTAGGCAAGGCCTACGGGATGATCTTAGGCGTGAGCTTGTTCTTGGAGGTGTCACCACTCTTGACCATGCCTACTCTTTCGTTCGGGATTACGAGTTAGTGACTAGGACACCATACAGAAGTCGTAGTGACTCCCGCACTGCAACCTCTTCTGCATCCACTCCATCCCCTAAGTCTATTCTAGGACCTCCTCCTTCTAATACTACCCCTACATCAGATAGTAAAGGTAGAGGTTCTGAGGTTTAAAGAACGTCCTCTCGTTTACAATGCTTCAACTGTAAGGGTTTTGGTCACATTGCTTCTAAGTGTCCTAGCCGAGCCCTAGTTTTGGAAGAGCGTGAAGGTATAGTTGACGAGACACTAGAGGACCAGGTTTATGAGCCTAAGTTAGAAGAGTTTGATGACTTGGAGGATAGTGAAGATACCTTCTTGGGTTGTATTCAGGCTAGTCCCGTTATCCCACATATTCCTAGAGTCGGTGTCGTCCGTTGTACTCTTACCCAGCCTAGGGATGCTGATGATTGGCGTCGTCATGCCATCTTCCACACTTACATCAAGATTAACAATAAGGGCTGTAAAGTTATCGTGGATAGTGACAGCTGTATTAATGGCGTTTCGATGGCTATTGTATCCTGCCTAGGGTTGTAGTCTATCCCTCACCCTCAGCCATACAGCGTCTCTTAGGTTGATACCTCCTCCATAGCTGTCAAGGAGCGTTGTTTAGTCCCTATCCAATTTTTCGAGTATAAGGACCATATATGGTGTGACGTCATTTCAATGGACGTCGGGCACATCATCTTGGGACGACCTTGGTTATTTGACCTAGATGTAACCATCTATGGTCGATCCAATTCCTGCTCCTTCATGTTTAATGGAAAGAAGATTCACCTTAACCCACTACCTCCGAAGCCTGCTGGCCCATTGGAAACGAAGAAAAGTGTGGAACGAAAGGGATTGCACATCATTAGTCCTACGGAATTTGAGCGTACACTTGTTGGTGACTCAGTTGTGTTCGCTTTGGTGGTCATGGAGGTCCCATCACATTCCATAATAGAGAGCCCTGTTGAAGTCCTATCGGTCCTCCAAGAGTTTCGAGACGTCTTCCCAGAAGGCCTACTTGATCATCTACCTCTACTAAGGGATATTCAACATGCCATAGACTTCGTTCCAGGAGCATCCCTCCCAAATTTGCCTCATTATAGGATGAATCCTACCGAACACGCTGAACTTCAAAGGCAAGTGGATGACCTCCTTCACAAAGGATTCATTCGTGAGAGTTTAAGCCCGTGTGCTGTCCTCGCCCTGTTGACGCCCAAGAAGGATGGTTCTTGGAGGATGTGTGTGGATAGTTGCGTGATCAATAGGATTACGGTGAAGTATCGTTTTCCCATTCCTAGACTTGACGATATGTTAGACATGATGGTTGGTGCCACAATCTTTTCGAAGATTGATTTGAAGAGTGGATACCATCAGATTCGAATTCACCCAGGTGATGAGTGGAAGACCGCGTTTAAAATGAAAGATGGTCTTTATGAATGGCTGGTCATGCCTTTTGGGTT